CGGCTTTCAACAGACCAACCTGAGCTTTCCTCCGAATTACGTCATTTTCACGTCGACGCTGGAATAATTTACTTTCAGCCATTAGTCGCAGCACCTCGTCGGCTGTGCATCCCCGCCAACGCGTCGCTACCCAATTGACTGCTTTTTGAGGAGCACGATGTTGCGTCCCAAGGTCACCCTGGTTATCAGAAGACTTACATTTACATGGCAGCAAAGCATTACTGGCCTAATATGATAAAAACTGTTCGCAAGTATGTGACTATCTGTGAGTCATGTCAGCGCTCGAAGAACCCTCGTGGTAAAGCACATGGGCTTTTGCGGCCACTGGATGTACCTCGTTACGATGGCAGGACATTAGCATGGATTTCATGGTGAGCCTACCGACGACATCAGCTGGCCACGATGCTATCATGGTGATCGTCGATCGACTAACAAAACGGGCCCATTTTACGCCGACTTTAGCTAGAGCCTCCGCTCTTGATACTGCTACACTTTTGTGTTCGTCTTATCAACGCTTACACGGTCTCCCTGGCTCAATTGTTTCGGATCGAGATGCTAAATTCACATCGAAGTTTTGGACCAGTTTAATGAAGCTACAAGGGTCTGAACTTCATTTGAGTACTGCGTTTCGACCGTCGACCGATGGGCAATCGAAAGTGACGAACAAGTTTATTATCGAGTATCTCCGACACTTTCTCGATCCTCACCAGACGGATTGGGAAGTCTATCTTCCTATGGCTGAATTTGCGTACAGCTCGCGTATCATTCCACCACTGGATTGGCACCGTTTGTCGCGGATCTGGGGTATTTGCCGCGTTCGGTTGGCGACTTGGTGGTCACTACGGCTGCCGACGTTTTTCCGCCTGCCGCTACCTTCCTTGAAGTACAAAAGGCGACTTTAGTCGAAGCACAGGATTCTATGGCGGCAGGTCAGCGTTCTTGGCACCGCAACTGCGACCGCAATCGCCCCGCCACTAGTTTCGCCATTGACGATAAAGTTTTACTCGACACCAAAAATCTCGATATTTCACACACTGGATCAGCGGGGAAGCGCAAATTTGCATCCCGATTTATTGGACCATACCGAATTGAGGCGGTCACTGGCCCCGATCGCTATCGGCTAGTACTTCCTGATGGTCTACGTCTCTTTCCCGAATTCCATGTCTCCTTGCTACGTCGCTATTACTCCGACCCCGATCCGAGCCGTCGACAACGAGTTCCAGCGGTCCTCGTCGCTGATGGTTCGACAGATCACCTCGTACAGGCGGTAACAGGACACCGAAAGCGCAAAGGCATTCAACAGTACAAGATAAAGTGGATTGATAGCTCTCTTTTACCGTCCTGGGAACCTCTGTCCAATCTCGGACAGGTTAAGGAACTTATTCGGGAGTCTCTCGATCGGTTGCCCACTATTCGGACTACTGCTCTTCTAAAGAAGGGATTGTGAAGGGCATTGCCCTTCAAGGTCACAAGGTCTGGCAAGCTGCTCCACGCAGTCGCATGGCAGCTCGACCGCAATTACTCCAGTAGTTTCGCAACTCCTGTAGCTTCATCTCACATGTTTCATTTCTAGGCACTAGGCAGTAGCATCTCGTGCCTGCTTGCTCTCACTCTGCCAACTAAAGGCATTCTATTCAATTCAGTCTTTCATTTCCTGCAGCTACGCAAGCCGATCAAGACTCACTCGTCTTCCAGTAAAACCCATAACACACAAGGCCATGCGTAGCTGACCTACGATACCTAGTTTGTCCTTCTTAAATTTATCGATCTTTAAGTCTTCTTGCATAGTTCTGGGGCGAAGCAGCATACTGGTGTGTTGTTGTGTAGCCCACGCGGTCCTTAACACTTCAACACGAACAACTTCAGCGGTATCCGAAGCCTTGTAGACTACCACTAGTTGCCGCATGAAGTAGTCAGCTGGGCTCACGTAGACTGGACATTGGAATCCAAGTGAAGCAGAATATTTTACCACATCGGTCGCAGGTCCATCGTACACACAGCACGGTCAGACATCAAATACAGCTTATCGAAGAGCACAAACACCTCGGATGACGGTTGATATACCGTAGCGACGACAGTGCGATTGCCGTCTCGAGTGATCTCCTGTAGCTGCCTCATCACCGTCTCAGCCGTGAAGCTGTCAAGGCTAAAGTTAATTCGTCGACGAATAGTAGCGACGGGCTGGTCAGCATCTCAGTGGCAAAGGCCAAACGCTTACGCTTGTCACCGGAAATAAGAAGCTCCACCAATTGAGAAGCTCCACTCATTTGCTCCGTAACTGTCGCAGTAGTAGGCTGTGCTCACTCGTAGAGAGCTCAGTCTAAGCTGTGAATTGATAGCACTTAAGAGGAAACAGGCGTTGAGTCTAATATGACGACGGAGTCGATGTACTTGTTGAATATGCGGTGTTCTTTGTGCTTGTTACACTTGCTGTACTTGTTAGACTCGCTAATGTAGTGTGTGGCCTCTATCCCACGTGCTCTGAGGTCGCAGAGAGCCGACACACACTCCTTGGCCAAAGCAGTAACGAAGGTATAACAATCCTTTCACCTTTGGTTATTCTTAAGACTGAGGGCCCTACGTCGTCGTGCTAGCTAGCCCTCCAACGGTAAGCACCCTACTGGAACCTTTAGTAAAACTAGTCATAATAAAATGTACGCATGCCATTGGCCATGCTCGTTTCCTCAAAGCTACACGATCCGTCAACACTCATCTTGGGGTTCACGGGCATTTCCTGTCGTAATGCATGCTGCTCCTATTGTCTTGCATCGTCGTGAGCTGCCCAAGTTTGTTTTGATCATTGAACCCGTGACAGTAACGTCATCGACACGTTTCTTACAGTTGCGAAACGAGACGTGCTTGCCCATTCGAAGCTGGGCCTGGAACATCTAGTGCTCACGTACTATGATGGCCTCGTTGACCATGTCCTCTTGCACGACGTAGGAGGTTTGTTGCTTGAGTTGTTTGGTCCAAGGGTGGTTGTTGACGGTGATGCTTCCTTCTAGTCCGTCTCGAGTGTCTTTTCGACCGAAAAAATAATCCAACAGAGAGCCTTTACCAGCTCCAGAAGGCCCATCATAGCCAATAGTTGACCCGGACGAGTGGATCCGTTGACGCCATTTTGAATCACTTTCTTCTCTTTGCGCTTGGATACGTTTGTTCGTGTTCACCACAAGGGTAAATCGTGGAGAGTCTTCTTTTTATGCGAGTCCCCATTTCGACCCCGTGTTTCATTGCATCCCTTTGGATAGGTGGCACCATGACTGTTCTTTCTCACGGCTAAATGAGAAATGAGAGAAGACATATAAAGCTGACATTAAGGATTACTACTGCTTTCACGGTCCAACTGCTTGCAACAACGCAAGTGCAATCACTTTAGATGACTGACGCTCCTTAATTGACAATCGATTGTCGCTAATCACCACATAGCGTTGATTACTTCCTTTGAAGATGATTGAAGACGTATTTTTTATTCAACATTGACATCAGTACTGCATACTTCTCTATCCTATCAATTTTTTTATAGGATTTCATTTTGTGTGTAACACACGAAAAATGCTCCAATGATCCCATTGTCTGATATCGTGCTTCTTTCAGTGATTTGATGGCATTTTCCTCTGATTTGATACATATCGCCTTAACAGGCAGTAATATACCTCATGTTATTGAGCGCCTACATCTCCGGTCCGACCAGTTAGGTTTTTCAATAAAAAACCTCGCATGTGTGATTAGTCAATGTCCATTCTGAGACGGGTATGATTGGTTAAAAAGAGTTCGTATGAGGATTTGTATGCACAGCAAGTGACACGAAAATGGATTCAATTGCTTTTAGTGATAAACCACTAGATTAAGCTCCGTTTGCGCTTTTCTAGTATATTTTAAAGTTTAATTCTGATTATTTCTGACGTCAAAGTGAAAAAAATCCATCCCTCTATCAAATGATAGTTTAAATGATCAGGTATCGGCAAAAATGTCGGAAAAAACTTGCTCATAAAAAATCGTGCTGACGCTACGTAAGTAGAGCTCTCAACCACGCTTCCTGTACGACCGAAGTTATCGCCGATTTAAAGAGCTGGTACATGCAATTCTTTTTCGGACCAGAGAAGTACTGTATCAGCGAGTGTTACTGTACACACGTCGACGCTAATGTTGAAATGAGTATTTACTGCAAGTTTTGTAAAAAGTCGCAAATAAATTTACGAATTCCGAAAACTAAAAGAATTCCTTTCAATTAGAGGCCCACATTCTAGGCGTCATTTACTTGCTGACTGCGGATATGAAGCCACAAAATTTTAGCGAATAGCATGCAAATTTAAGCTTTCTAATAAGGATACTTAGATATTTATCGAGCTCATACGACACCACGCAAAACAAAATGATACCTAAAATCATTTAGAGTTATCGCGATAATCGAGTTAAAAGTGGTCAATTGATTTTCGCACTTAACCGGTACTGTGATATTTGGCGTACACTTTCAACGAAAAAACTGAGGAACTACTTTTACTCAATTGCTTTTAACAAGGGATTTTAAATAGCACTTGGATTTTTTAAAATTGAAATAATATTGATCTCACTTCACTCCTTATTGTATCGTCATTTCGAGGGATAAAAATATTTTTGAGCGACCACAACCTCTTCTGTTTTAAGCATTCAATAGCTTATAAGGGCTCAAGAGATAGAGGAGACGCCCCGCTTTCGTTTAGAGTGCTTAAATCGCGATTCGTACATAGGTTTGTAAGTATCATTTTGTTTTGCGTGGTCTCATGTTGGTAGTGCTACTTTTAAAAACCTAAAACAGAGAAGTGGATTCCAAATTTTTACCTAAAACAGAGAAGTGGATTCCAAATTTTTGCTTCTTAAAAGCTTCAATTGGCTTAATAGTGTGTCTTACGTATCAGCGTGTAAGCCACATACTCAGTTACAATTTAAACATCAAACAGCTCTTATCATATTGACACAGCGTGTCCCCTCACAATCGGTTCCCCCCAGTCTCTTGCGCAATGTACGCTGGTGGCGGAGCGAACGAAGGTGACCACCACAGCAGTGGCAATGCGCCGTTCTCGAGCGCAGCAGCCGAAGCAAACGACCTAGACGCGTTGGTGTTCGAATTCGGCACGTCCCGCTGCAAATTCGGCTATGCGGGCGAGGACTTCCCTCGTGTGTTCGAGCGCCCCGTGCCACACGACGAAGTACACGACGACGCGGAGTTAGGACGGCGTCTGAACCGCAGATCGGCGCAGGTCGAGAGAGACCCAGAGAAATTGGCCCAATGGCTGTTCGACGCTAGCAGCTCCAGGCTACAGACACGACTGAGTGAACACCCGTTACTATTGGTGGAAAGACCGTTTACTCTGCCTGAAGAAGTCACGGGAGATGCAGGACAGACGCAGGACGAACAGGACGACGCAGGAGCTAGAGCCACCGAGACCAAGACTGTGCAGGCCAGTAGCGCCAGCAAAAAGAGAGACCTGAAGGCCCGAGAACAGATGGTGGAGGTCGTCATGGAGGAGCTCGGTGTGCCTGCGCTCTTCTGTGCCAAGAGCGCCGTCCTCGCCTGCTATGCGAATGCCAGGACCAGCGGCCTGGTGGTGGAGATGGGTGCTACATACACCAGCGTCACCTCCGTCCATGAGGGTTACGCCTTCGCGTACCCCAAAAGTCAGGGTACTTTATTTGGCGGCCATGATTTAAACTCCTTTTTAAGAACAAAATTAGCACCGCAAGTTGCTAAAAATTTAGAACACAAAATGGAGGCGACGTCGGCGGAGATAGAAATTGCCAAGCGGAAAAAACAGACGTGGTCGTACGTAGTGGAAGCCAAGGAGAGCGGACTCTGTCGAGTGGCGGACGGACCGTTTGACGAAGTGCAGAACGCCCAACTGCCTCTGATCAACTACGAATTACCCGATAAGACTATTGTGTCTTTGGGTACCGAGCGGTTCAGTGTTGCAGAGCATTATTTCTTGAGGGAAGGCGTGTCAAAAGCTGCAGAAAGCTCAGACAACAGTACCTTAGTGAACGATGGTCCGGGCATGAGACTTCCCGAGTTAATCTGCGAGACAGGCGGCCTAACAACCGAAACGGAGCTGAGGAAGGAATTGTTCCAGAATATTGTGCTGACTGGAGGAAGCTCGTGCTTTGAGAACATGCCGACGAGGATTGAACGTGAAGTAGTGACCATGTTGAGTGGGATGCCGCTACCTCTTACAGGAGCAGGCAACAACGGCGCAGCTGGCGGATTTACTAACAGCTTACGGGTGAAGGTGGTGGCAGCTCATCCCCAAGAACGTCGCGTGGGCTCGTTCCTAGGTGGCTCCATCTTGGCGTCGCTGGGGTCCTTCCACGAAATGTGGATGTCCAAAGCAGAATACGCTGAGCATGGTGCTACGCTCATTCACAAGAAGTGTCCATAGACTCGTCGGCTTCTCAGTTATGGGGATTTTTAGTGACTAAATTTAGGTGTCACCAAATGGATCTTTAAATCTATTGTTTACAAACCAAATCTGATTGTCGTCAACCGAAAAACACGAATCGCGATTTATAACAATAATACAGGGGCGAGGTGCACAGTAGATGCAAATCATTGACTTAATTTAAGAAACTCTAATCCTAATGCGTGAAAGGACGCTCGTCGACGATGCTGAGTCGGTTTCTGCGCTGTTGTTAAACCGATCGAAAGAGCTTTCGTAGATCTCGACATTGCGTTTCTTGTCGACAAGCACGATCAGTTCACATTAAAGATATTTTAATCCAGGTATCAAGGCGCATATGCTCATGGACAGGTTAAACTAACGGCAATGGAATGATCTTGGAGGTGCATCCTGACCAACACATTGGCCGAGTCCAATCTATGCTTCAAATGCTCCACAGGTCAATGGGCTCACGACGTTTGGAGAGCTGGATGGCAAGACACTTCATTTTCTAAGCGGATCAACGCTACGGGCGCTGTTTGTATAATACCATCAAGCACAGTTGGCCAGGGCAAGGGCGATTATCCAGGGACGAGGATCGTCGTATCGATTCAGTGCAATCGTTATCCCGAATCTGTCTAACGTTAACTCCAAAACCTCGATAATCAAGGACACAAAATAGGACCAAACAACCACTACTTAAGAGCGTTGCTTTGGCGTGGGAGGACAGTTGATTATGTTGGAACGTAAGTTTAAGTTTTCCCCAATTTACCAGCTGGCATAGGTGCTTGAAACGCAGCTTGAATTTATTGAAGTTGTGTGTTCATAGCAACTTTGTTTCTACTGTCGAGCATTTTAATACGAGGTTTAAACCAACCAGGCTATATTTTGCTCGCTGACGTTGACGTGTTGTAGGTATGGATTTTACCCTGAGGTTGGCTTGGCTTAAAGGCAGCTGAAGAACTTAAGTAAATGTTTCCCGACCTCACACTATCCGGTTAGTCGTAAAGTTATGTGGAAAGTGTGGCTTGAATCAAATCTTTTTGGATTGTTGCATCTGAATTCCAGAGCTCTTGTCGCAGCATTATAATACTTCCGTATTTCGAAGATATCTATCATCCAGCGGTCTGGATTTTTGGCATTATATAAAAATTAACGGATGCGTGACTGATAATCAATTCTAAATGGATCATACATGTAACTTTGTAATAAGCTACGTCTCTTTTTGGATCCCCAAAATCACACGTCACAGATTTCTCACACGTCACAGATTTGCTAGCCTATCTTTTGACATATCCTATCATTTATCACATTGTGCAATCACCAATGCTGCTCCGCGGCATCACTTCGAGTGCTTGCGTCTCCGTCTCTGTGCGTCGGATCTCACCTCTTCATCGCCGACACATCTGCAGTACGTCTCGGATCCTCTCCGGCGCTGACCCGTCGTCCAACAATGCGGCATATGCTGCTAACGACGCAGCCAAAGCGACCCCAATGGTGGCGCAGTATCTCGCCCGCAAGAAGGCGTATCCAGGTGATAATCTCGATTGTTCATAACCGTTGTAGTACTAAAACCCTTATCAGCTAAGTTGTTGTGGTGACAGACTGCATGCTTCTATTCCAAGTGGGAGATTTCTACGAGTTCTTTGGCGATGATGCGCGTCGAGCAGCTCATGTAACTTGGTCGGAATGAACAGTGTACTTCAACGACAACTTATATATTATCGTTGTACATGCTGTATACAGCTATTAAACCTGGCACTTACCAGGAAGACCACGAAGACGCACGTACTGAACGAGATGTGCGGGTTCCCTGTGGGGTCAGTGGATTCGTTCGTGGAGAAGCTGGTATGATAGAGCTTGTTGACGGTGGAGACCCGGTAGTATATATAACTGACTAGTGCGTGGAGCGCAGGTGATGCATCATGGCGTAAAGGTGGCGATCTGCAACCAAGTTGAGGTGAGTTAAGGCTTAACACAAATTTGAGAAGATATTTAGACTGATAAATGTGTTTTTGGGCAGAGTGCATCTGCTGCAAAGAAGCGTGGCTATAACAGTCTTGTGGATCGACAAGTGGTTCGTATTGTAACGCCAGGATCGCTAGTGGAAGACACGATGTTAACCCCAAAGGAGAATAATTACCTGGCGTCTCTTTTTTATGACGATGATAAATGGGGACTCGCGTGGGCTGATTTGTCGACTGGCGAGTTTGTATCCACCACATCTACAAACGAGAAACTGGCCAGTGCAATTCTACGCTGCTCGCCGAAAGAAATCCTCCTGCCAAGTAGTGAAGAGGAAGCTATGAAGGTGGCTATGCCCAGAGATGCCGTAGCATTTCTAGACACTGTGCTACCTGATACTTGCATGAGAACTTTTCGACCGGCGTCGAGTTTCATTCCACAAGCTTCAAGACGCTCACTGCGTGATGTGTTTAAAACACTCGACACGTCGGAACAAGCTGCCGCGTCAGCCATCTTGGACTACGTCGACTTCACGCACGGCGGTATGAGCGCGTTGATCCGTGCGCCACTTCACGTCGAGTCATCGGACCACATGATCATCGATTCAAGCGCGTGGAGAGGCCTGGAGCTAGCCAAGTCGCTCAGTGGCTCCAAGGCGTCAAGTCTACTGCAAGCTATCGACTCCACTACTTCTCCAGGAGGGTCACGTCTTCTAGCGGTAAGTTATTTATCTATCTTACCAACTAAAAATATCATTAATATTTTTTTTATTACAGGCTCACCTGGCGTCTCCGTTGATGAACCTCGAGCGTCTAGAACGTCGACTTGACGCTGTTTCGTACTTCTATGGACAAGAACAATTGCTTCAACGTACACGAAGACAACTATCCGAGGTGTTCGACTTGGAACGGAACCTCCAGCGCTTATCTATTGGCGTCGGGACTCCAAAAGATCTCAAGAATGTGGCGTCGACAATCGAAGAAGCCAAGCAGTTAGAAAAGCTTGTAAAGACCCACGAACGTCTTCGAATCCGTCGACTGCCTGACCTCCCTGGGAAAGAAACCTTCGGCTTGCCAGCCTTGCTGCGTGACTGTTGCAATGGACTCGTAGCCAACGAACAACAGCAGGGAAACATCGCACAGGCAGCTCAAGAGATCCACGCAGCACTCAAAGAAGACTACGCGTCACTCAATTCCAAGAGTGGGTTTGTTCGTGCTGGTTACTCTTCGGAGCTTGACAAGTGGCAAGAAATTCTACGACACGACCCCAAATCTCCAGAGAAACAAGAGCTGCAGACAAAGTACCGTACTTTACTCGGATCTAGCCGTCTTCGCGTAATTTTCCAAGCGGAGAAAGGTTATTTCCTCGATCTCCCACACGACGAGAACGCCAAACTACTCCAGATCGAGCACAGTCGACGAGAGCTCGAGAAGCTGACGTTGTTCCAATCGTTAAAGAACTCGGTTCGGTATCGTAGTGAAGAACTGCGGCAGATGAATCGTGAGCTCACAGAAGCCGCAGTGGAGGTGGAGCGAGTGGAGAATACTATTTTTTCTTACCTACGAGACAAAGTACTATCCGTACGCGACGAGTTACAGGCCATGGCAAGTGCTATTTCTCAGATAGACGTCGTCTGTTCTCACACTCAAGTGGCTTTGGACAGAAACTTCACGCGCCCGCTACTGGATGGGACCTGTGAGTTGCACATCGAGGACGGACGACACGCAGTTGTCGAGGCTGCGCATCTGCGAGGCTCCAACTCGAAAGGGATGCGTGCTTTTGTCCCGAATAGTCTGCATCTAGCAGCAGCGCCCGGAGGCTCTTGCTGGCTGCTTACTGGACCAAATATGGGCGGGAAGAGCACATTTTTACGACAAAATGCGCATCTCGTTCTCCTGGCGCAAATGGGCTGCTTTGTGCCGGCCAAATTCGCGCGTGTCGGTCTCGTGGACAAACTTTTCTGTCGTGTGGGCTCGGCTGATGACCTGGCAGCTGATAAGAGCACGTTTATGGTGGAGATGCAAGAGACTTCGACAATTCTTACGCAAGCTACGAGTCGCTCGCTCGTGTTGATGGACGAAGTGGGGCGAGGGACGGCTGTGAATGACGGAGTGGCCATTGCCGGGGCTGTTCTCGAAGCCTTGTGCGCCAAGCAGACGCGTACTCTGTTTGCCACACATTTCACTGCGCTAAGTGCGTTAGTTGGGGGAACGTGTAATGGACAGCTACGGCCGTATCGGATGGAAGTTCTGGAGCGTCAAGTGGCAGGAGAGACCAAGCATTTGGTGTTTTCCCATCGAGTCGTGGAAGGTCTGGCAGCTCAGTCGTACGGCGTTAACACTGCGGCGCTGGCTGGATGTCCACCCTCTGTGGTTGCTCGAGCAAGTGAGCTATTGGCTGAATTGATGCACGAAAACTCGGTTAATAGCCATGCAGATAGTTTTGATGCACAGAGCCGATTGCAGCGTGCTCAGGCTGTATTGGGCGCTTGGGAGTCAGAAGTCGTATCAGGTAACGCTATTGGTCTCAAGAACCCTGTTGATCCTCTCCAGGTTCTCGACGAGTTGCGTCAAATTCTTTACGAAAGCGGAGAGGGCAGGTGAACGAATACTATTTTTAATAAAGGTAAGTACCGCATATCATGCAAAGCGGGTATCACGACTTTCTTGTTAACCCTGTACTGTACAGAATAGATAACGAGCAAGGATTGTGAGTCAAATAAAATAAACCTGAAGATTAAAAAAATTAAGTCGTTTGGTTATCCTGATACAGGGTAATTTATGGCTAAAAACGCGGTTTATCGGTTTCTTAAAATAGATTACAAATTGCGCGACAAAAAAATGTCGCCTAGTGAAGTTTAGTCATTTGTTTTATCACGTCACTACTTCAACGTCGGGTTAAAATTGTTTGATGAGACAAAAAAGTGGTCTCATCAAACAATTAGTTGCACACTATCGTAGCAGAGGTCGGAAAATACAATACTGTATTGAATTGGTGGCAAATTTTGCCGTAAAAAAATTCAATATGAACACTTCCAATAATAAAAATTGCCCTCATTTAAATATATTGGAGCAATATCTAGCTACGTCTTGCCTACCGTGTACTCTTGCACCAGCCATGACCCCCGTGCGTATGCTGGCCCGATAGTCTACTGGATAAGCTACGCCAAGCTCCTTATTAAAGTCGCTATTATGTTCTGTGGTAAGTCTGACGACGGCTGCCAGGTTAATTCTTGAAACTCCAGCCAAGAAACTAAATAGTAGTCTTGCCCGTCTTGACACGTTTGTTTAGCGTATATTCTATCAGCAACAAACAAAGCGGGCCCATCTTCGAATTCTGAAGCTTTCCATCTGCTTCGTAAGCAGTGACACAGTGCACCCAGCGTGTGACTATCCATCAAACATGAGGCCAAAGAGCGTTCCCAATTCCTTCTTAAGCTTGTGCCGACCTTGATTGTCAGTCCTTCAAGACACTTCTTTACAACCTTCACAGTTCCAGGCCGTAGCTTGCTCATGGCTCTTGTGAGAGCGTCTTCAGCTTCGCGGATCGGCATGTTCATCATGATAACCCACTGAATCCACTGGAACAGATGACCAGCTTCTTTAGATACGAAACCGTGAGCGACCCGAACTGCTCTCGAACGAAGTGTGATACCCCGCTTGTTTCGCGTCCAGAGGCGACTTGAGATTAGAGTACCCTATTCCTCTAGTTTGTTTCCGCTGGTTGCCGCAAAAATTGCAGCGAAACAGCCCTTGACCAAGTGCCGTGAAGAAGTAGACGTCGATTTGCTTGTTAATGACCATCGTAGCCCGAAACTGAAATGATTTTTGAGTTGTGGCTCGCGTATCGTAGCTTATCAGACACTCTCGTAGCCACCGATTTCAGGTCGGTGTGGAGATGATGTGGTGAACAGCGAAAATGATGTTATAATATCTGATTGCTACGAAAAACTTGATAATACTCAAAAATAAGAAAATTGCGATATATTTTTAGATTTCATGCGTGTCGTTCGAGCTGTCCACCTCAGCTAAGTGCGGTAAGATATTAATTAATGATAAGCATGCAGGTTACACGAATAAAGCTTGGTCAATCCGTACTACCAAAGTTGAAATTAATGCAGAATGTAGCCCAGCTAGCAGCGCCGATTCAAGCCGCCTCCTGTTTTCATGGGCCACGTGTAAATCTGGGCTCACGTTTAAATCGTAGCCAAAGAATCTGTAAAGCTCAAAACCAAGGGCAGGCCAAAAGCGAATTTAGCTTCGCAACTGCACTGTTACAATGAGTAGATAATGGCAATGAGGTGGCCGCTTGTAGAGACCTTCGCCACCCTTATCTCTGAGTAGACAGGTCAAAAAAGAGGGGGGGGGGGTTCCATTGATTAAAAGTAAACAGTAGACCTCCCGAGCAAAGTTTGAACATGACGTGGAAATTTATGCAAATCACCGAAGGAATGCCCATGCCACCGAATGAACGAATATATCAAAAAGTATGCCAATAATACTAGGAAATCTAGACTTCAACAGAAGATTCCAGAATCGCTGTTCATTCGATCTCGCGCGCACGATAAGGTACTTGGTGGTGGATTGACCACCCCACTAGATTGCCCCCTAATTTCTCATTTTGCAGTCTACAGCACCTATCACCATGGCACCCTTCTAAACAAGTACCCCCCAAGACATAAACCGGCTACTCCCGGCTGAGCGAGTTGCTGAAGGAGTCTCCATTCTCACTCAGCTCAACGCTGACCGTCAATCCCGCCGCCAAAGCGTATCCTCTGTGCGCCTAGATGTCGACAACGATGACATCGACTCGCCGTCTCCGATCGACCACCGATTTCTGCGGGAGAATACCCAGAATATTGCCGCTCTGACAAAATTTGCGCCGCTGGAATTTGAGCGCTTGTGGAATTCTATTCGAGCGCACGTGGCTGACCACTGGAATGTAGGACGTGGCCGTAAGAGCAAGCAGCAACCCAAGGACGTGTTGTTCATGTTCCTGGTCGTCCTTAAGCACTGTGGGAAATGGGACGTGGTGGCAAACGTCTTCCGCATCAAGACGGGAACATGTCAAAAGATGATCCTTTCATTTGCGGAGGTTGTGTCTCCGTACCTCTACGACAAGTACGTGGTGTCCGCGGCCGGCAAATTCACGATGGAGACGCTCGTGCTAGGAGGCAACATGTTCCGTAACTACCCAAGCGCTCGCTACGCCACGGATGTTACTTTCCAGCGGAGCAGCATACCGACAGGCCAAATGAAAGAACGGCGTGCGTACTACAGTGCCAAACATCATCTTCACGGTTACAAAGTCGAGGTGTCTGTGCTTCCTAATGGACTTGCACTCAACTGCACGGCGCATTACCCTGGCAGTGAAGCGGATATCCAATTTTTTCGCAACGACCACGACTTTCACCTCCAACATCTTCTTAAGAGCTTAATGGAGACTGAGCTAGCAGATGAAGGGCCTCTAAGGACTGAGCATCCCGACTCGTGGGCTGTTCTAGCTGATAAGGGGTACCAAGGACTTGCCGCTGACTTTCGTGCCATCACGCCGTTCAAGAAGCAGCCGCTGCGGGAATTAACCCTGGAGCAAGTGGAGACTAATGACCGCATTGCCCACGACCGCGTCCTTGTGGAGAACTATTTCGGTCGGCTCTGCACGCTATAGGCAATGTGCTCAGACAAATACCGGTAGAATGAAGGCAACTACGACATGTTTTTTCGTGCGTGTGTATCTCTCACTAAATTTCATGTGCGAATTCTTCCACCACGCAGAGAAGATGGTACCAACTACTACAACTACGCGAAGCGGCTTCGTGTGATCAGTCACGACGCTAATACCAAGAAACTTGCAGTGCAAAGGCGTTATCGCGAAAAGAGACGCATGCATCTTCGACGCATGTTTGTCGCTCATGTGGATTTCCCCGGAAGTCGATCTGCACATCAGCGCGAGAGTGATGAAGAAAGCGAGGAATTTTTCGACCACGAAAGTATCGCTTTCGCTTGAGATTGAGATTTGGTAGTCGCTTCGGCGGCCTGGCAGTATGTAGTTGGTAGGCTGATGTTCCTCAATATGACATGGTCATTGATCCAAAGCAGATAATATCAACAATACCTCCGCGTATTTGCCGTTATTGTTTGACTTTTCAAAAATTCGCGTGACAATGGTAGAAAAAGCGGAATTTCATTAAAAGCCAAACTTCAGCTGAATATGTAAACAAATGTTTTGAGATCTAGTGGGCAGATGCTGCGGCTGCAAAGCAGGCGCCAGAGATGCGTCAAAGCGCCAACGATATACCGAACGGAGTATACGTATACTAATATTAACATGTACCGGCCCAAGCACAGCACCAATGTTGGCTGATCTGCTATTACACCGTTCACGCTAATTAGTCATACCCTGACTAATTGTGGTGTACCGATCGAAGCACTATATACTGGGATTTCAGCTGTCCATTTTGTAAGATCTACCGGTCTAATTTTTAAATCGAGCATACTGGAACAAAGAGCTAGATGAGATCTGCTCAAAACCGGTTTTTTTTTCAAAAGATTAGTCGAATTTGTGAAGTGCAAATCCACGACTAATTGCGAACTACGACTAATTAGCGTGAACGGTGTAGTGGCGCATTGACAAAACGTTTTATCAAAATAGAAATAAATTTGGGTTAGATTGAACTTCAATATCAGACTTTGGTTCGCTAAATTAAAACAAAATGCGCTGGGCTCAAAGTTCACAGCTTTTTCGTGCACCGCGCGACTTTATACCTGGCATGATCACCTAGGATGCTTTTCAAGTACTCGTATGACATATTGGCTCGATGCACGTCTGGTGGAACACGACGTCCAGGCATAGTGAAGCTCAGTTCTTTGTTTTATCACTCAACGTCGGGTTAAAATTGTTTGATGAGACCAAAAAGTGATCTCATCAAACAATTCGTTGCACAGTATCGTAGTACAACTAGGTTCTGGGGCCCTATTTCGACCCGGAGAATCTATAATACTCTATCACGGCTGTCGTCAGAGTGTCTGTCCCAGAGTTCAGCAGCTCCGTAACATTTCCGGCGGACCCACCGAGCTGAATATCCTTCATAAATTCCACAACTTCAGAGACGCGAGCAAATGGACCCGGCAAATCGCCACACTTGTCAGGTCCAGCACTCTTGATACCGATGACCACGTCGTTTAGGAGAAGAGGGCCACCCGCGTTGCCACCACACGAGCCCTTTCCGCTTCCAGTGCCGGCGCAAATCACAGAGTCGTCCACTATGGTGTTGTCGTCGGCGTCGGCGTACATTTTGGTGCATTTCTTATTTGTCACAATCTCGAGGTCTACTGTTTGAAGGAAATTACTAAAACCGGCGTTGTCCTTGAGCAGTCCCCAGCCGAGAGTCGTCGCGATCATGCCAGGCTTGATGTCGGATCCATCTGCAGAAACCAAACGTGCTGGGTGAATCTTTGATGGCGTTTGTAGTTTGAGTATCGCCACATCGTGTGTGACACTCAGGAGCTCACTCGAGAAGCGGTACAGAGGGTGGCGATAGGCCTCGACGGCGCGGATCATCTCAGACTGTCGAGAGCCTCCACCTGAACTAAGTTTCGACCCTAGGGCAACATACACGTCGAGCATGGGATAATCCAAGCAATGCCCAGCGGTGAGAGCGTACTGCGGAGCGATCAAAACGCCACCACAGATTCAGTCACTATTGGAGCCGTTAGGATGAAGACTCGCCATGTACATGTGTTTGCCATTCTTCGCAGTCGACCCGCCGTAAATGCGGTTCTCCTCGTTGGCTGTGAGTTCGGGAAACGAAAGAGCATTCACGAGCACGACAAATGCAGCTGATAGCAGAGCGGCTTGGATGGTTTTCATCATCCACAGGAGGAAGATTCGAGGATGCAACAGAAAGTAGCTTTATCGGGTAGTCCGTGTTGAGCTTGGCGAGGCAAAACTGAAAGTGGGATCAAGAAACGAGCAGCAAAGTACAGTGTAGGTATGATATCCTTTGTATGAATGATACATGTATTCATCATGACGCTGATTTGACACAGTCAATTGTGACAGGTCGATAGTCCGAGGTGTGTCAAATACCAGTGCAGTGTGAATAAAGACACATGTTACGGCTAAACAGTTAATTCAGTTTTTTACCGGTGTAAAAACTGTATTTACGCGTAATTACCCTTCATTTTGCTAGCTTGAAATGCTCATCCTCCCAATGACTTATGTATTGGTCTCTATGGGTACACAGTATCGTGTCTGATGCACCGTTTGAACACAAACTGTACTTTAGACATTCTTTTGAGGTGTTTATACATGTCTTTACGATCAGACGTGAAAACACCCACTGCCACCCCGTACATTTATGTTTTTCAAGTTGTTTGTATAAACAAAGCCGTGTTTCTCGGAGAAGCTCTAGATTACACTACTATGTGTAGGACGGCTGCTCACCATTGGCTTTACAGTACCGAAAACCACGACCTCAGTGCAACAGCTGTAATAAGTTCCATTGCTATAAAATTTTAGCAATCTTTGCACATTTTACGTGGTAAAAAAAATATGTCCAAAGATTTATAAAAAGGTGATGACCTGTTCTTACTAGCGTTAATACTTAGGTGGGGTGTCATCTCTGTAGTTTTTACAGCCGCACTATTTCTTTTCCCGAGTTTATGGTTTTGCGCTGCTGTATTGACTGTTTCAGTTTACTCAAAGAACATGTAATTGTCAATTTGTTCTGTATAATCCGGGGACAGACACTCTGGCGACAGCCTTGCTGGAGTATTATATCCAAGACGGATTCTCCGGGTCGAAATAGGGCCCCAGAACCTAGTTGTACTACGATACTGTGCAACGAATTGTTTGATGAGACCACTTTTTGGACAATTTCAACCCGACGTTGAAGAAGTGACGTGATAATACAAATGACTGAGCTTCACTATGCCTAAAGGTCGTGTTCCAGCAGGCGTGCATCGAGCCGATACGTACGACGCAGTAATGTATTTTAAATACATTACTACGCTTAAACTGATTTAACTGTCTTAAATGAATTTCGAATGTTGGGGCTCAAAGGGACACTTTGAATTAGGAGAGCCAGACAGGTCATACTAGTACTTGAAAAGCATCCAAGGCGATACAAAGTCGCGCAGTGTACGAAGAAGCTTTAAATTTGGAGCCCAGAGGATTTGTTTCTATTTTATCAACCAAAGTCTGGTATTGAAGTTCAATCTAAAACAAAAATACTTCTATTTTGATAAATGTTCTGTCAATGCGCCACTAATAGCAGATCAGCCAACATTGGTGCCGTGCTTGGGCTGACACATATTAATACCAGTTTACTTTGTATACTCCGTTCTGTATGTCATTGGCGTTTTGATGCATCTCTGGCGCCTGCTTTGCAGTCGCAGCATCTACCCACTGTTCACCTATAATTAATGAAAAAGCCTTCCCTTACACATATCTACTTGGAGGTAAAAGCGACGAATGTCTCTACAAGCGGCCGCCCTTTTGCCGCTCTCTACTAATCGTAACTGTGCAGTTACGATGCTGGATTCGCTTTTGGCCTGCCCTTGTCTTGAGCTTTACAGATTCTTTGTCTTCGATTTACCAGATTTACAGGTGGCCCATGAAAACAGTAGGCAGCTTAGATCGGCGCTGCTGCTGGGTTATATTCTGCATTAATTGCCATCCTTCTTTGGTAGTACTGATTGGCCAAGCTCCATTCGTGTATTAATAACATGCATGCTTATCATAGCCTAATGTATTACCGTACTTAGCATGAGGTGGACGGACGACTGTATGTAGCGCGGTTTTTTAGTTTTGAGTATTATCAAGTTTTTCGAAGCGTAGAATTTGTATAAAACCTTTTTTATGCTGTTTGGCCCAAATGACCAGGTTTTAATTTATGGAAAATCACCTCTGTCAGATCCTTCCTTAGCTCTGAAATAAATTTTAGAGAATATCCATCATGACGCTAATTTGAATTGTGACAATTCGTCCTAGGTGTGTCAAATTCTGATGATCAAAGAAAGGTCAACTGTATTACCGCTAACCCTTCATTAGAGGGCACCAACTCTAAGAGCAATACTATTTTCTGTGTGCTGTCGGATTCACGCGTTTGGTTATGGCTGTTAGTTTGCAGTATCGTAAAACTTATGTAGCTGGGCTTTACTTTTGTCTAATTTGTAATATCTTGATTCTTTTGGGAAACACTTATTTAAAGTATATCATACACATCCAATATATTAATTTCCCTAAGGGCGCCCCATGTGACTTGAAGCGAAATCTCTATACTTGTTTGGTACCATCTCTTCAGTGAAGATGCATGGATGATTCATCAAGATTGATGAATACATCTTAATTAAAGTATGCTGGATGAGGACAAATCGCATATGTTTTTATAGACAGAGCATAATCAGTTGAGCTTTTGCAAAAACACTTTAAGGGTGCACCATGCGCCCTTGTGCTACGAAAGAGTTGATGGTGATCTAAGCTACGCACCCTTGCCTTACATGATGGTGACACTTTTTGATCTTAAGCTGCTCGTTGAGACAACGCGGGTTCCATGCAATTTAATAGGTGCAACGTGTTTATGAGAAATGCGATAAAACTAGAAGTAGATGTAAACACTGATGCTTTTGAATTCGTGGGGAAATATTGTTGGGAAAGCTAAGAAGTCTTCGGGTCTTTTACGATGCAAGCTCGGAAACAAGATGTGTTGTTGTCGAAGAATTTTGTGTATCGCCGTACAATTGCGTCGGGGTCATCACGTGTCATCTATACTGTTACTTTGAACAGGTCTGGGTGAACGGCTCTCGGCACGACGCCCTTTTCACACCTTTGGCGGTAGAACATTGTTCTCTGGATTCTGTATCCAGAGTCTTATGGGGCTAGTCATTCTGACCCAAAACTACTCTAGCCTTTTATACTCAATCCACAAACTAACGTTTCTATACCAAACTAAAATATACTTACTTCAGCACTTGATATGCCTGTTATATAAGGTCTACATTGGATTGTCGTACCCCTTACAGTGAATTTTCTTTTCTAAAATGGTATAACCTGTCATTATAGCTTGTATCAGACACCGCACCTTTCTTTAAACAGGTGGAATGGTTATATACATCTGATATCCTCTGTACCAGTGATATCACCCAGGTGAATGCTGCTTGTGCGGCCAAGGGTAACATCACTATAAATTACGACTTAGTGAAGTATTTTATCCGCGTGAACGTTGTTCGAACAGACTTAAGCTTTCACTCATCCGATTGGTACGACATACCATACTGCCATTATCCCTCGTGTGTTGCAGTGCGACTCGCACAGTGTGATCGCGAATTTACTACGGTATACAGGACTGCAGAAGAAGTATACGTCAATAAAGAACGCATTGATGACGTATTCAGGATGGGCTGTCAGTGTCAATGCCGGGCACTGACCGACCACTTTTATGCCCTGCTGGGGCTGCCCTCTTCACACAGAGGCTGACATCGCACACTCCCACTTGATCTCGGCAAGACGGTGCCCTAATTCATGCGATCACACGCAAGCCTTCGCAGGTTGAAGTAGCAGTCTAGCAGCACAGTAGTTTGGACAGCAAACAACACGGCTTACCCAGCACCGTCGCAGTAGCCTTCGCATTTGTAGCCTGGATGTTCGGCATCAGCTGTCAGCACCGGTGCGGCACTTGTATTGTCGTAGTACAACCATGCAAGAGAGGCGCAACCTACGAAAGAGAGATACAATCTGCTCGGCGTTCTTAGCACACCCTCGCACTCTAACACACTGTGGTTGTCACAATTGTTTCGTTGTCCATCGCAATCACATAGATATTTCGTATTCGTCCTAGGCCTTCGCAGACTGACAGAACGCGATCTCTGTCTTAGCTCGCTCGGACTGCAGCAATAGCAGCCGTAGTAGAAGCAGCATGCTCCGTATTAGTATTAGTATTAGTAGTAGTAGCAGTTGTAGTAGAAGTAGCGTCCGAGGAGACCACTGCCAACACCTTCAACGTTTGAAGAAAGCGAGTGAGCTTCACCACTGCAAGTGGTTTGGTCATGATGCCCGCGATCTTTAACTCGGTCCCAATGTGCTGCGTCGCGATCAGCTTAGATTCCATGTTGCGTCTTAGCATATGATACCTGTTGGCTATGTGCTTAGACTTGGAGGACTTACCAGGCCTGGTGGTCAACATGATCGCTCCCTCATTGGCACCCAACAATAATGACACTGAATGCTTCCAGGTCATCTCTTTACACATGTTCGCAAGCCATAGCACGTTCTTGGTGGCATCGCCATCGCAACATATCCCGCTTCGCACGTACTCGTCGAGTTGATCTCCTGCTTTCTCGTCACGCACGATATCACGTTACCGTCAAGCGTGTTCACATAGCCACTAATGCTTCGTCTGTCCACCTGCTCACGATACGGCAGATAGGCCTTCGTAGCAGGTACAGTAGCTTTCAATAATGCAGTAACCTCAGGAATATGTGGATGGGAAGTATTGGCAGAGTCAAAATCTCGCGTATTCCCTCACGACACCTGGAGTGGCTCTTCAAGAGCTCGCATAC